TTCTATTTTTCTTCGTTTTGCCTCAAGGTGACTTGTCAGAAGCAAAGAATCATGTACGTTAAAGGAAGCTTCATGTTAATCTACAATAAATATTGATGCAGTGGTGACGCACGTATATCATATAGTGCAAATAGCAAAAAAAACGATGATTAAAATTGACATCCTATCTACCGTCAACATAAAAAAAAGCAGCGGCACTCTTCGTATAAAGCGTATTATATATCAGTCAACATTCTGCGAGCTTGAGTGACAACATATTTTGAGCAGTAAAAAAAAGACGATATCGTTGGAGTTTTTTTTTAATAAGCATCAACTTTTTCTATCGATGACTCATGTCTAACTTTGATTCTTCTATTAACTGGGATGCTAAACATAAGATAAGCATTGCTTCATGATCAAAGAGCATAATATAGTCAATTATTAACTTTAAGATAAACCAAGTTGACGGTCCATTCAATCTCAGTTATGAGAGAATGGTGTTGAATTGTTGATAATGTAAACATAGCTTGATATCCAAGAACAGGTGATTACACAACAAGACGAAGCTGCCTTTATTTGTCAATTAGATTTCACTGCTCAGATTGCCTAAAAGTATGGACAACGAAAGAGAACTCAGCACGGTTCACAAGGTGAAAACACTCTGTATTCATATTATAGGCAAATCTTTGATCAGTAATGCGTATGAAATACTCCGAGAAAGACAAGCATGTTGTCAATGATTATTGAATCTTTGCTGAGAAATTATTTAAAGAAATTAAAAACGGAAAACAATTTGTTAACGAAAAAAGCAGTTCGTAGCATTTTATTGGAATATCTGATTCATTCATTTCATTTCTATTACCTGCATTGCAGCAGTCAACTTTACTGCTTCGATGACTCTTGATTGCCAATAGGTGCGGAGGAAACGTGTTATAAAGCAATTAAGGCTTTAAAAACTTCGTGGAAAACACGTCATTTTCGGTGTCAGGACCGAAGCAATTCTGAAACATATCCATGAAACGAAAAAGAATATTGTCGTTCTATTACAATACATAGCTACTTATCTTCTACCTTCATTACAATAGCAGAAACAGCTATCGTATACTGAAAACTTAATATCAATGCATCTTTTCTTTTTTAAATCCTGTGGCTTCGAGAGAAAACTCGACTCTGACACGTTATTCAATCTTTTGATCGTATAGACACTTCCAAAGTTTTCGTCCCAACTAGTTTGATGAAAATAGCTCGTTTGTGTGGTATCATCCATCTTTATGTTCCCACTTACACTTTTAGATATCGATTAATTCTAGTCTGATGAAGCAAAGCAATTTTTTATTTATCCGAATATGTATTATCATCGATTGATATTTAGAACATCGAATTTTTCTAATCGAATTTCTCCGCAGACGAGACTGCCTTATCTATTTTTTTCTTGGAATCTATTCGATTCGGTTTTTTGTTGCAACGAATGAACACCAACGTGAATTTTATCTTGACACATATCCTGTCATCTGAGAATGATAAAGAGTCAGTGTTATATAATTAATGGAGTTATATCAGGAGTATTGAGCTTTAATTAGTTTTATAGAAATGATGAGGGCTCAAGCTTGGGTCCGTTCGAAGAAATATGAGGAAAAATCAGAAAGCTGAAGATTTATCACTCAAAGTATTTTCATAATTATAGGTTCTTTTCCTATGCCGGTGCTAAGATTTGCCTAGAACCAGAATCCGAGTTTAAGCGACAGCTGGAAGATATAATTTATTGAGTGTTTTGCACTAGACTCGATAGTCAAAGATCTAATCATAATATTTCAACATGTCAACAATAGTGAGGTGTCCCATTGAGTCATACCTCATGCTCACGTCTATTCACAACCACACTGACATGAAATTAATCTTCGTTATATACTTCTCACAAGAGCTAATGAATGAATGAAGAGAAGTCATACTGAGTAGAGAATCTGGAGAGGTTATTGTCATGAGCTCATACGCATTGTATCCAATAAGTAGATAGAGAGCAGATGCAAAACGATTCATAGTCTAATCGAGTTGTAACGACTCTTTGAAAAACAAATTTTCCACCGAAAATTTTTATTAAAAAGAGGACACAACGTAAAATTTGCATCAATAGTCACAACTAATGGTAACAAAAAGAGATTGAAAAGACGTCGTGTGGTAATAAAGCGCGCTAAAATGTATGCTTTGTCTGGTCAACTACGAGAGGAACTCAGTTTCGAGTAGTCAGTAAGAATACATTATAGTAAACTAATTAGAGAATGAAGTCCATTACGAGCCTTCCTTGAACTAAGACCAATCGCGTCTTGCTAGAAGAAAGCACAGAAATCATCACTGAGAACATAACCTCAATAGACGAGATTGTGTTTATATGAGTCATGTCCACAGTACCATCTTCGCAGTTGCACTTTACGAGATCATAAAATATATCGTTGAAGAGAACGAGATTGATTTTAGGCAGGACTATTGAACAAATTTGATGTACCATTACAATTTTTTTTCAATATTCGTGCCTGAAAATGGATCGTGAGCCCATTTGTTATTTTTCGATCTTCAAACGAATCGAATTATGATCACTTAGGAATGAAGGCAGAAGTTCATCGTAGTAATGTATCTTTATCATACAGATCTATTGCAGTGCCCTTCTTTGCCATGATCATTTAAATCCTAGGTCCATTAGATGACGGTGGCAGTTACATAGTCATAAAAAAGCATGAATTGATAATCTTCACACTCAACTGATTTTTTTGTCGTCATATGTACAATCAACTTCTCTGTTCAGAATTTCGATAGAACATGCTTCTAGATGCGTATTACAGAACTAAAATTTGCATTGAAGGAAATTAACATGCTTGCAGAATGGAATGCTCGCGATTTTCTAATAAATATTTTGAAGAGCAGAAACATTAAAAAAATACAAAAGACTGATTATATAGCAATCACTCTCTTTGAAAACGGCAAATTTCGCTTGACAGAAACAGCGAATGGGTTGTACAGCCAATGGCAATATTAAGATCCATAAAACACTCAACAATATTGTTCAGCGCAATATTGGAAACGTGTTTAATATGGAACGTCTATACCGTGCCTACAACAAGATACTCGAATTAGCAGGTAAGAACTTTCCAAAACGTTTTCAAACGATATTGGTTATATTAGAAGACTGTTAATTTTGTTGATATCTGATAGTTTAGTAATATTAAACGAGAAAGATAACTTTTGACTCATAGAAAAGCCTAATTTATCAATTGTTTTGTTTTAATGTGCTCTGAACGTAATTAACGTACTATGCAATTCCATCATTACATCATTGTCGAATACCTAGGTGTCCAAGTAGTGGAAAGTATCTGCAATATGCTGGATGTGGCGCATCCAAACTATCTAGCAGCAAACCAATTAGACACAGGCATCTTTTATAGTGTGTTCAATTTTATGATTCAATAATAAGAACACTTTTTCACTTTTGCTTTAATTTCATTCATATTGTTTCATTCTTTCTTGACTGTCTGTCTCATAACACTGTCAACAAAATCCAGGAAAGTTACGATAGAAAATATTGAGTTTTAGATGAATAAATTTTTGATTACAATGTTTATCAAAAGTTTTGTTTTTGAGTTGATGATAAACATATTTAATTACTTTTAAAAACTGAATATCAGCCTGAAAATATAATTTGATATATAGAAAAGAATATTCTTCTGGAAATATATATATAAATGATATATTCCTTTAAAATACATAGCATGAAGAGAAAGATTGCAAAGCCTTTAAACAATGCTCGACGTTAAAGTAAAGTTTGGTTGAATAATTTCTCTCTTAGAAAAAAATTTAATAAACTTTCTATTAACTATCATATCTATTAATTGATACTTCTTCTACATTCGAACTTCCTTACATTTTTTAACAAGTTTTATTACGTCAGAAGCTTCATTAAAACGACTATTGCATCCCAGATAGTTGCTTCCGTAGCATTGCGCGACTAACGATGAGAATGAGGACGAGATCTACGGCTAGTTTCAGAGCGTTTTCAGTTGTGTTTTTTTATCTATAAATAACAGTGCTAATATAATTACACCAGAAAGAAAATACCACTGATGAAAAATACACTTTTTTTTTTACTTTATTTTCCATAGATTTCAAAGAAGTAAAATTATGCGTTAAACTTTAAATATTTTTCGTATTGAACTCTGTACAACTTTCATATACATCTGTGAAAAAGATCAACGTTATAGCAACAAATCGTTGATCTGCTTGCGAGAAAATATATCAATTGAACTTAAAAGTATTTACATAGACTTATTAAAAAGTACAAGATGTTGTATTTGAAATTGAACATAAGTTAAAGACCATATTTAGTTTATAAAAAATTAAATATCAGAAAATTTTTTTTCTTGGTAATTTCTATTAAATTCAGATTCTATCACTTTGTGTAAGTTAAAGAGTTTTCTCAAAATCATCTTGTCTATTGATATCAATGCATTATGAAATCATCGTATATGAGTAATCATGAGAAAGTAAAGAAAATATGATTATATGAACATAAACTAATATTACTGCTATGAATGTCAAATTTGTTCTATTCGAAAAAGAAATATTGAAATTCTTTTGTGAAATATTCAAAACTTATAACAGAACGAAATTAAGTTAAATTAAATGCTTAGTTTATTGACATAATTTCCTTTATGTATAGCTTAGTCACTCACTGCATGATATTACTATATATAGTATTTCTACGTATATTACCGAGGCCATATTGTAGTAATGAAGAAACTTGTGCAACTTTTTTTTTCGTTCTCTCTTGTGCTATGAATAGAAAAAAAAATAAACTGACGTCAAATAGGGTTGAGAATGACTCAGTTACTAGTTAAGAAGTATGCATCATGTTTTTTGCTACATATCTCTATCTTTCACCATACTCAAGCAATCAATCTTCGTTGGTGTATAAAAAGCACAAGTTGCAATCGTCTTAAATCACATATTATCATAGCCAACTGTTGTAAACAAAAATGACTCGATCAAATAAAGCTGCCTCTTCCGAACAGATGAATGATGAAAATCAAATAGGCGTAAGTGAAAATACTCAATGTTGATCAAATTGAATATGAATTTTGATTGTCTTTTTTAAAGCCATTTTCTATTGTACCAAAGTATGATTGTCCTCATTTGGGTGATCACGCGTATGTATTACTTCAATCGACTCAATATGATGAACATCATCAACCACCTTGTGTTGATTGTAATAAAACACAAGAGAACTGGGCTTGTCTACACGAAAACTGTAATTATGTGAGTCATTTTCGTCAACAATCAAAATAGATTCATACATTTATTTCCATTATTCTATTAGATTGGTTGCTCTCGTTATCAGCAAAAGCATATGTTAAATCATCATGAATCAACTGGACATAATATTTGTCTTAGTTTTTCAGATCGTTCAGTCTTTTGCTATGCATGTGATAGTTACATTGATAGTCCTCAATTGCATAGCCTTAATCGACAACTAAATCGTGTTTCTTATTAAAATCAAACAATTAATAACAATATAACAATATAACATTAATATATTTTATTATTATTATTTTTTAATCTTGTTGTTTTAATAAAATAGTCCAGAGATTGATTTGATGTCTGTCTTTGTTGTTCATAGCATAAATGTGATTTTAACAAACATCTGAAGAGAAATTGTTTATCTATTATTAAAGATCTATGTTTATGAAAATTTTCTTAAAAAAATAGGTTTTGAGTACTAATCACTTCACATATATAAAAATAATGAAAAGAAACGAGTTTTTGAAGAATTTTTGAACTATAAGTTGACTCTTCCTTTTTCATATCATCAATGCTAATATATTTCAATTTGAAAAGTAAAGAATATCATTTCTTCAAATTAAACTGTTTGTATGGATTATTATCTCTTAAGAAATAGTATCACTACGTTCTTTAGACATTCTATATGAAATATAAATAATCAAACGAAATAAATACTTGTCAATAATATCTAACATTTGTGTATATGTCTGAGGCAGAACTATCAATCATATTCATTGTCGATTCTATGATAATCTAATAATAAAATTTTTCGATGACATGTTCATATCTATTTTTCATTATTCATGTAGTTTATTTTCAACTAAATCGTATGACAAAGAGTTATTTCTTCTTATCATCATCGACTTTTTTGACGTGTGACAATGACACTTGATAATAAAAAGAAATTGACTAGTGCAGGCTGGAATAAGCTGAAATGTGAAATGCACATGTATCTATTAAATTTATAATATTATAAAACAAAATTTATATATTAAAAAATCTTTACAAAATGATAACTCTTCTATAAACGTATAGAACTATGAGAATAATATATTATTAGCTATTGAGATTTATAGAATCATTTACACGATTCTAGAAGATTCTGATTACTCTTTTTATCTATACTCAAGTTTTGTTTTTTTGTAGTTAAACTGCTTCCTCTTCTGCAGGATGAAATCAACTATACTTATTAGTTTTTATATAATGTTAAAATTAGGAGAAAGTCAAATCATCGTTAGTTGAACTGATACTCAACAGCTATCTTTGGAAAATGTATCTGTGATTTCTAGGATATTTAATTAATAATGAGAAACAACGATAAAATGAGAGACTTTGCTCAAATGTTTTAAGAAGACTTCGTTCATAGTTTTTTTCGAGTATTTGATTGAATATGGCTGAGTTTCCTTGTCATAGCTAAATTCTTTGCAACAAGAAGGTTATATTTTTGTTTTTCATTTTGAAAGTTTCTGATGATAAAGCTTTGAAATCCACTGAGAACATTCATGTTGTAATTAACAAATGGAGCTATTTCGCTCCATTTATTGAGACAAATTTACTTTCAATTGTATTCTTAGATATGGAGAAATAGCAGAAAATAATTTACTGTTTTCCGTTTATTTAACAAAGTCTTTATCCTAATTGAAATTCAAATTATTTTCTATATGTGGAGAAACTAGAGTTTTGAAAGGCTTCACTTCTAATTAAATGATAAATCATATCAATTTAACGAAGTATATTGCATTTTCACAACTCCAAAAGATGTCTAGTATGATGAAAATAATTATTTATAAATAAAGCACATTGTTCTTTCTATTTTGATTACATCCATATGCGGATTATATGTGAACAAATTTGATTCATCCATTATGAAATATATTGATACCAAACGACATTTTAATCAATCAACAAGTTCATCATCTAGTCCTTTCCTCGCTGAAACGTTGGCTTTGATTGAAGTATATTAAAATCGTTTTAAATTTTCGTAATATATTGGAATTGCAGTGAAGATGTTATGACAGACTTTTCAGCTAGTACGCTATTGAGAAAAGATTTGCCGTATTCTACTCAGAGTCTATAAAAAAAACACTGCTTTGGTTTCTAAGTTGTGTTGTTGTGAAACCAATCAATTCGCTTGGATTATCGGAGATTTACAAGTAAGAAACAGCATCTAAATGTTATTTGATCTTATAGTGTTAGAAATATCCAAGATAGCTAAAATGGAAGAAAGCTAATGTATATTAGTATTATTGGCCGTAGCCTATAGAAAAACTGTTCAAAATCGGATAAAGAATTATACTCTGAAGGCTTTTCTAACCGTCTGCCATAACATCATTAACACTAGTCATTGTCGAATTAGGAAATAGACAACTTAAGAAATTCGTAGAAATAACATAAAGTTTCTCCGAAGAGTCCATAAAATCGATTTCTTTTTCAATAACCTTATCTGATGATTGGAAGGATTCATGTCTGCAGGTTTGAGTTGAATATACATTCAATAAATGCATAATGATAGGCTTATGCGTCAACTTAGATGATTACTTTGATCTATTTTTGCAGCATTTAAATCACGCCACCTTTTGTTTCCTTTGATTCATTGGTTGAAGCTAATAGGTCAATCATATTTTTTTCTTCTCTGTTTGTTATTTCATAACACTGATGAACATGGTGTGCAAGGTTTAAAAAGTGATTCACAGTAAAAATGACATAGAGACGATCACAAAATAAAGTAACACACATTACACACTCGCTTTTCTTCGTTCGGTAAGCATTTATGAAAGAGTTTTGTCAGGTTTTTTCTGTTGATGTCAAGCTCACCATATTTTTTTCCAATTATTTGCGCAGTCAAGCAATTCCATACAAAATGCGCCGGAAATGCGTAACAAAGATGACCATCTTTCGTTACCAGTCTCTGTTTTTGATGATCAAAAACGTGAGAATCAAAATTGAAAGTGAGAAAGTACATTACGCTTGCACATAGGCCAATAGTGTGTTACGATCCGAATTCGTAGATTTCTGGTTGGAATACTCCGAGAAATGGGAAGCAGGAATTTGGTAATCAGATTTATTGGTCGATTTTTTCCAGTTCCGGCTAAAACCAGTCCTACTTCATTCATCAGAACAGCCACTTTTCTACCGACTTTCTTTGACATATAGAAATCTCATTATCATCCACCAACATCAATTATATCAAACCGTTCAAATGTGTTTCAGAAAGTACCTGTATCTATGTTTTTGCCGACTTGATTTTTTTTCTTAACGCTCGTTTTCTTACCTTTTTCTACTTTTTTCGACACTGTAGAACTATCATTTCTATTCATATGCAGTCATTGAGTGTATGCATCGGACGAAGATCGATAAAATTTTGGAAACAGATGTAAATTGAATTTCTTTTTGTTCTATTTTAGTTTTAACATCCGACGATAGGATGTCTTCTAAGAGTTTATCAGCTCAGATGGGTCCTGTTTATCGTATTCCACCTTATTATTATATTCACGTATTAGATCAGAATACAAGTGTAACGCGATTGGAAATTGGTCCACAAAAGTTTTTTAAACAAGATAATGAGACAATAGTTTTTGGGCCCGATAAAATGATTACTCTACCACCCAGACATTATTGTGTTATTGAAAATCCCGTTGTTAAGAATGAAGATGATCAAGCACAATTCGACAAAAATGGTCAGGCAAAATTGTTGCATGGTAGCCAAGATGTTAGACTGGAAAATGATTATAAAGAACCATTTCCATTGTATCCTGGTGAAGTATTAAAACAGGTATTTGGAACACCTTTATTGAAAGTACAATTCAACAGTATCTGTTAATATTATTTCAGGCTGCTACACTTTTAAAATATGTTGCAGCTAATTCAGCATTAAGATTAAAAGCCGTTTTGGATTTTGACGATAACGGAGAACAGCGAAAAGCTGGAGATGAATGGCTATTCGAAGGACCAGGTAAAGTAACTATGCATTCAGTTATAATTCAGTCGGAAATTTGCTCGATTCATGATAAATATAAGTCATCTGTACAAATATGTTGATTTGTTAGGCACTTATATACCACGCAAAGAAGTATCCGTTGAAGAACATATTGCAGCTACCGTGATTGGTCCAAATCAAGCACTAAGATTAAGTGCTAAAAAAGAACTTATCGATCGTATGGGTCAACGCCGTGTGGCGGGTGAAAATTGGTTAATAAAACAATTAGGTGCTTATTTACCGATGGCTTATGAAACGGTTGTGAGCATTGAAAATGCCTATGTTGTAACAGATAAAAAAGCATTACATTTGCGTGCACTGAAAACATTCATAGATGATTTTGGCCAAACAAGAAATAATGGTGACGAATGGCTCATCACAAAAGAACAAACAGAAACACATATTTTGAATGTTTATGAACAACTCGTGACAATTGTTGATATAACAACATTCAATTCAAGACAATATTGTGTCATCGTAAATCCAGTTTCATGTAAGAATGTTAAATGTCAAACTATGATCGCAGTTATTATGATTTCTATTTTCTTTTCAAGGTGATGGTAAAAATCAATGGGGCAAGAAGAAATTAGTCGTTGGTGACAAATCATTTTTCTTGCAACCTAACGAACAATTAGAGAAAGGAATTCAAGATGTGTACGTGTTGTGTGAAGACGAAGGTATCATAGTAAAATGTATCGAATCGTTTGGTGATGAAATAGACAATGTGACTCGGGTGCCAGGTAAGAGAAAAGAATTTTATTATCCTTTTAGTGTAGAGAAATCATCTGCGGCTAGATTCTAACTAGACAAGAATTAAATCTGTCTATTCTGTATGGGAACTATTTGCATCTTTTTAAGGTGACAAATGGGTGATAAGAGGACCAAGAGAATACATACCACCGGTTCAAGTTGAAGTGTTACAAAAAAGAAAAGCGATACCTTTGGGTACGGTTCTTGATGTTTTATATCTTGTTTATTTATGTGATACTTATCTAGATGAAAATGAAGGTATCTATGTTCGAGACTTGAAAACTGGCCGTGTTCGTGCGATTGTTGGTAATACATACATGTTAACACAAGATGAAGAACTGTGGGAAAAAGAATTACCACTAAGCATAGAAGAATTTCTTCAGCGAGATTCCTTAGTTGAAAGACGTGCCAAAACAACAGTAACATCATCGTTGCAAACGACAAAACGTGACAAATCCAGATTAGTTACATATCGAGTACCCCAAAATCAAGCCGTCCAAATGTATGATTACAAAGCGAAAAGTTCAAGAATTATTTTTGGACCAGAATTAGTCATGCTAGGACCAGATGAACACTTTACATACGTAAATCTCTCTGGGTCTGTTCATGTTTCTTTATTTTTACTTACTTTTCTTTCTTTAGTTTTCGTGCTCAAAAAAGCTGTCAGCAACAAAAAAATATTCTTTTCTGCTATCCTTGTATTTGTGTTGTCCCTTATTTTACGTCGCTTTATTTAATAAACAAAATAGAAAATGATTGAAGAAAGCTATCCATGAATAACAAAAGGCTTTTAGCAAACCTAGTCTACTTAGGTGCCGTGACACTTTGAACGAATTGAAAACATGCATCTTAAAACTAACATACCCACAACACAAAAAGACGTTTCCTTCAAGATATCTACGCATGAATAGATGATCATGCATATTGGCATTATATTATGCTCTGATTATCAGGAAAAACAATTATAATTTTTCGTTGAAATCAAACGAACTTTGATAAACTAATTGAGGATATCTTACATCATTTCTTAACATTTTTCATATACCATACTTTATACGAGAGTGAGTACAAGTAAAGCAAATGATAATCTTGGTTTGTAATCATTTAAATGAAAAAAAAATAGAAAATTGAATATGATTGTGTGCTTTTAGAATAATGGAACGAAGCTAACACAAAAATACAAATATACAAGGTTCTCAATCATTGTCTCGATAATATCAACGAATGAAATATCGATGATAGCTGTGGATCAGGCTCGAGTACTATTGATTAGATCTTATGTAATGTAATTGCATACTTATCTTAAACAGATTTTTAGTTGTATATGAATGATGATATGAAATACAATATACAATTCAATTAAAATACTAGTTTTAACCTCTATATGAATATGAAGTTACAATACTATGATTGTGAACAAAGATGTCTTTGACAATTCAAATAGTTGTACTGTTGTAATTTAGAATCATGATGAATTGTTGAATTCTCTATCTGTAAAAATAAAAAAAACCGTAGTGAATAATAAAACATACAATCTCCATAAATTGTCATTATATGTTCATGCATATTTTTTTGACAATTGTTCCTCTAGAACAAAGCAACTTTCTCAATGAGCAAGAATCAAGTCTTGAATTTCTAATCAATGCCTCGAAAATAGCCAAAAAACGTATTAGTAGACTATTGCTTTAGCCACTAATCGAATTAGATTTATGATATTGCTAGATAAAAAACCTATGTCTATTATTCACGGGCCACAATACTGATACATTATTATTTATTGTAATGTTTTAAATTAAATCTGTCAAGAAATTTGTTGAATACCCTACATATTTTACGCCATGCTTTTATTTGCATCTCTTATTTCGAATGTTTGAAACTTTATTAGTCATTTTTTTCTAATTCATCATACGATATTGTAAGCAAGTTGGTTTTTGTAAAGCTTTTACTTAGTACTAATTTTTGAGTGTTTAGATTGTTTACAGATGAGCCAAAAAACAACAGAAATATAGACATATATGTTTTGTTAATTCCATTGGTCAATAAGAAAAGGAGAACAAGTGATTTGCAAAGATTTCAATTATTGTACAAGTTTATATAATCGATGTGAAGTTCGCACAACCGAACAAGACCGTTCGTAAAATATTTTACACTTAGGTTGTTGAAGTCGAGTAAGAATGAGAGTGCTTTGGTGCATGTTGCCAAATATCTTCACTCAGTTGTCGTTCTTGTAGATCTTTTAATACATCTAGCATTCCGAACTCATCTCAATTTGTCGTGTTCACTGTGCATCGAACTAAACGAATATTGCAACATAAATTGAATAGAACTCATAGATTGATATTTAACTCAAAACAGTAAAAGATGAACAATCAATATTTTAATAAAATTTTCAACAAATAAACCACGAAAAAAAATCCTTTTCCAGACCCTGTCACAGTTGTCATTTAATCAATATAAACAGCGTAAATTGATCAAGTTATAACTTGAACAATAAATAATTCATGTTAGTTTTCTTCGAGTTGATCGAGATATCTATTAGTGCATTAAGATATGCAGCCATGGAAATAATACTTATTTACAACGACCTTATTTGCCATTTAATTCAATGCTTATAATGATAACAATGTTAAATTAAGAATATAATGAGCGAATAACAACAAAGCAAACAAAAAATTGGGCTTCCATAAAAAAAAAACAAGAAAAATTTCTGTTTGCAGTGCGGAAATATATTACACAAAACTTTACTTTGCTGATCGATTATCTTCAAACAGAACTCTAATAGATGAGAGATTTTTCAGTTCACCTGTTTTGTATGTATTACTTCAGATATCATAGACGAATGACTAGTTTATCATAAACAACCATAAGTGACTTAAATATATTCATGCATGACTAGATCATTAGTTAAAGTTCTATGTCGCAATAAATAAAAAACAATAATGATCATAGTTCTCTATTTACATATGTCAAATTGAGTTTTTAAATAAGCATCGCAATTGTATGTACATAATGAAAATAAAGTGACATCACTTACGAGGAAACGATTCCAACTGTTCAATCGGTCTTTTTTCAAATATATAAATTTGTATGTGATTGAACTACATTGATTTCAAATACAGGGTTGCCAACTGTCCAGGTCTCGAATGGGATACATGTCGGGTACAACTTTTTTCCAAATGGGATACAAAATATTGTTGTTTAAAACAAAAGAAATTCTCATAAAAAAATCAGCGGACAACAGTATTTTTAGTCAAGAAGGTCATATTCCACGTGCTGTATGCAGGATACTATCTGAAATATTTAAGTTCAAGCAAAGAAGTTCTCAATCAGGGATGCACCAGTCATTAGCTTCCAGAAAAGTCAAATCTCAGAGGACCTTAGGGCATGAGACCTTCAGAAAGCAAAAACAGCAGGGAGATCGCTCAGCCAGCTGAACTCCGTTTTAATTATTACGCAGTTCTGCATAGAAAACACCAAAATATCAATTTTATGTTGCTAAAATTCGATTTTCCTTAAAACCCTGGGAGATCGTACTTTTCCACAGTCCCATCGCGGGGTCTCACTAGCAGCAGTTGCGATCCAGCTCAATTCTAGTTTCGGGAATTTGTGAGATCGGAACTGATGCATGTCTTTTCTCAATTATAACTATCTTCGTCACATTTCTATTCAAGAAAAAAAAAATGTTCATTTAAAACAAATGCTTGATATTCATTGTACAAATTCTTCCCGACTGGTATTTCTTTATGGTGTCAGTGGATGGATCATCATTGTTTCACTTTTTTCAGGTTCAAACTAGTGCCTTTTGTAGACAAGATCAGAATACAGTTTTTCATAATGTTTAATTTTTTTACAATAAGATCTGTAGAAAATCGAGCTACTACTCTGAGATCGTCTCTCGATTGAAATAAAAGCTTGGTTGAAGCGGGGCGATGAGATCCTGTATTTCTTCCTGTTACATTGATTATCAACCATCAACATGCTTCTCGTAAACCAAAGCAAGATGCACCTACTTCTACTTTGAAAACTAAAAAAAAGAAGTGTCTGGTTTAAAATATAGTAAGAGCACAAAGAACGGCTGCAGGTTCTAAAATGAATATGTGGCTACAAATGACGTTCACTGTAGGAATTCCTTGCTAGCTAAGTCAAAGTCAGAAAAAAGTAAATTACATGGACACGTTTTTAAATTATATGAAGTTGCTCCTGATATGAACCTCATCATTGTATGAATAGGGTTAGATGTATGGACTCATCCGGTGGGGTCAAGAGAAGCGCCTCATTAACGTTAGCAAACACAGGAGTAATACATCACTCAGTACCAACTGATTTCTGCAATTTTCGGTGGCTTTTCAGTGAATAACAATCACCCATACTCACCGAAAATCATAAAAACGACCAATTGGCTGTTAATCCACTGATCCGCGCTCTTTTTTTTTATTCTGATGAAAAGATGATTTACATAGTACCAATGAAAAAGTGCAAATGGGATACAAAAACGCGTACCCCAGAGGTACACATTTTCGTGGGGTGCTGTACCTCAAAATGGAGTACAGTTGGCAACCCTGGTTCACACTTTTATACAGATTTTAGTACTAGTTGTTTTTAAGGATGAAAGACAAGATAAATTTCTCTGAATTTCGTCATTAATTTTATAAGTATAGGCAGCCTGTAATGGATTTTGATCCTCAAATTTATTTGCACAGCCTTCTTTATCTTGTGCACATCGTACAAATAAATCTAAAAACATGTAATTAACATATTTATCATATTTAACAAGGTCAATAAAATCTGTTGGAACAACAGAATCAAGTATAACACCATCAATTTGTTTTTCATTTTCTATTAAATGAAGATATCGTTGTAAAAGATAAGTTTCTTGACTTGAACCCATTGACATGACACGTTGATTTGATTTTAAATGTTGACGATTAGAAACAACGTTTAATACATATTGTAGATCACGTCCCATATTTGTAAATGCATCATGTTTTAAACGATATTCATGCTCTTTTATATATGATAAACAAGATGAAAAGTTTAATAATATTGATATTGGATATTCTAATAGATCACTTTTACCAACACCACGTTTATCCATCGCATATATTGTTATAGCACCATTATATTTAGATACAACACGAATAGCTTCTGATTTTAAAGTCGATATTGGTATACCACCATCTCCTATATAGTAGATAGACAAAGATATGTGACAAATTTAAACATAAGATATTACCTGCTATTCGCTATAATTGATGACCTATATTTTCACTTCCATTTATGAAATATCGTTTGATAAAGATTTTTATTGTTTCTGTACAAGTTGTTAAATTTGTAGTTATAATCAAATCAATAGGTACATTGACAAACATATATTGAGCATGAACATTATTGCTTGTTTCAATCTAAAGATATTTGAATGAAATCGAAATAGACCTTGGATTTATACGAGTCAAACATACTCCATTTGATAGAACAGGACAATTGAACCAATTTGGTTGAGCGATGGGAAAGTTAGAAAGTGGTAAACAATCTTCAGATGTAACAATAATCGCAATAATCAGCAGTAGAAAAACTACTTTGCTCACAATAGTACAATGCATTGTCAATTTTTTTTGCGTACATTGAAAAAAGGCAAAATAAATAGTTATTCAGTAAAAAAAAATTCTGTCATGTCATTTAAAAGGATTAGTACATTAAAGAAAGCAAATACGTAATATATGAAATTAATCTTAATACAAAAGGAATAAATAGAAATGCTCTTTTATTTTGTTGATATCATATATTATTTTATTGACTCATGTGGGTGGTTTCTTATGCATAATCATGATTAGATAAACGTTTATAAAAGAAAACAGCATTTAACCAGCATCATAAGTACATTAGTATTGGTTCTTTAAATTTTTGTTTTTCAAAATAGAAGAAAAAAAACTTTTACTATCAAACATTCAATTAATAAATTGAAGAATAATGCAACAATTAGAGCTTTTCAAAAAATATTAGCAACGCTGATCTTTGAATACAGTGATAAAATAAGTTTGACTTTAGCATTAATTTGAAATCATTTCTATCTCAAGCTATATTGATCATATATAAAATCATTTTTTCAAATCACTAGCTTAATTACTAATCGTTTAAAAAAATAGCTTCTCAGACTGTCAATCACATTTTACTTTCTTTTAATCTTCTATTCAACATTATGCTATTTCTGTGTTTATCAATCTATAATCGTTATCTAAATCTTTATTTTGACATTACTTGGCGTTTATTTTGTATTTACTATTATCATTTTCAACCAAAGATTTTTCAATATGCATCGTACACGTTCAATTTCAATTATATTATTTATTATTGTTCAATATTTCATTTTTGTTAATAGTCAATGTCCATCTAATTTCTTAATAGAACCATGTTTATGTATCGAGAATAATTCATCAAATAATCAGACAGTACTCTATTCAATTTTAACAGAAACGATTCCAATTCGTCAAAAATCAATTATATGTGAACATATTAATAATTCATTCTTGGATTTACGTTCTATTTTTATTAAACTTAGTATTGTCTTAACAACAAATAATCAATCGAATAATCTTACGAATTTTAATGATTTTCTTTTACATAATACACAAATTAATCATTTATCAGAAAATTTTTTTGGAAATATTACTTTTTCAAATATTTTATTATATCATAATCGATTATTAAAGTCAATTGATGTAAATGCATTTAATAATACACAAAATTATGTTGAAGTATTTAGAACTTTAAATACAAGTTTATCAGACAGTGATAAATTATTTATAGTAATAAGAAAATTTCATAATTTAAAATTTTTCAGTATGGAAAATGATGAACTACAATCCATTCCCGATTATGCATTCAATCATACTGAACTTCGATATATATGGTTAGGTGTTGATTTTCGACAAACATTACAACCACTTAAACACATTGGTAAACATCCATTTTATAATGTACCAAATTTAATATCATTACGAATTTTTTCATCTTTACTAACAAAAATTGGTAAATATTCATTGGCTATATATAGTAGACGGTCAACATCAATTGTTGATGATTTGAATCATATGTTATATATTGATATTGGTGGTTCAATGTTAAATGCTTCTAGTTTCGAACCAACATCACTTACTCGTTTTCGTAATCGACCAGTTTTTTTACGTCTTTACAATACAAGTATTGATTATTTGGATGAAACAATATTTCAACCTTTTCTTGAAACACATCCATCATCATTATTAGGTGTTCAAGATTCGAATATTAGTCGAACATGTGACTATAGATCGTTATGGATTAAAGATGAATATTGTACAAATATCAATTGGCGTGAAAATCGAGTATATGGAACTCCATGTTGTTCATTGTAATTTGTTAAATAAACAATCGAACTTATTCGCTGGTTGTATAATTATAAATATTGAGTATTGAGTTCGGATAATCATCCTAGTAATAATACTGAGTTGGATTTTCGAAACATGCGCATGGAACGAGAGATAAGGACTTCGAAACAAAACGAGTTCTGTCAAGTTCATTACATTCATATCCTTCATACTTAATAAACGAATGAAAAAGTTCAGAATTTCTTATATCTGATGGTTCTATTTTGAGTATGAAAACATATTTTGATCCAATGTCAAATGTTTGCAAAAGATGCTTTCCTTCGTCATTATTAATTTTCTTCTATTTTTATTTATCGATAAGCACAGCTTTGTCTTGCCATCAACAATCAAAATCTGGCTGCCGTACTTATATTAGTTTCTCAACAGGTGAGAGTGTATCAAATATGTAAAACTCTTCTTATTCTACTTAGCATTATCGTTGAAAGCTATATAGACAATAATTTGAATTAAACATTATTAACCTTCTAATTAATTCTAGATTCTCAATTTAATCTACTTAATTTCGTTATTTGTTATGATTTTCCTTAGGATAACTTGAAACATGCGAAGGCACCAAAAGCTTCTGACTTTATGAGAATATGCGTGTACATCATCTTAACACATATAATCACTCACATCCTTTTACCTTGTCATTATATGCTTAATCATATGTTATTTTTCTCTTATAATGCAAACCATCAAGTAGGTCAAAAAAGAAGACCTTCAATTAAGTAAATATTTCTTAATGTAGATCTAATGGATCGTCTCATTTTTATTATCATATTAGTTGCATCGATAATTTCACTATACAAACTTTTTTATATATTTATAATGAATTCATTTTAATTAATCAGTTTTCTAGTTATCGTTTTATTGTCTTTTAAATTATTGAAGTTATTTATTTACAATACTTGATATACATTGATCAAATTAGTATGATTGGTTGGATTGGTTTTTGACAAATAACTTACAGTTTTGTTTTGATGCTACAGTCATGATATGATATAGTAGTGAAATGAAATACTAAATAGATATTATTCATATTAACAAAACTGTTTCATAAACTATAATCTTACATATTGTAAATATCGCTACGGTCAAATAATCGATAAAATACTAAAATTGCAGATTAAATACATAAATCAATAATGGTATATACTATTGAGTTGCTTTCTTAACATACATATAACCGTTATCAAGTTGAATTTTCGTCATATTAGTTTGTTCTCAAGACATTAATTTTTTTATGTCGTATTTCAAATAGTACTAGATTTTAGAAATAATTACAATTAACTTTAAGACACCTTAAAAACGCTTTTAAAAATTTTTGCTAAGTTCTTTACTGTTAATTTGCTTGACACCAAATAATACACTTTTAAAAATTTAAAACATTAAATAGTAACACAGAAATTTTTCCGATAAAATATATTACAACTTCAGATTCAAAACTATTTTTCATCTATCTATAATTCATCATATACTTGTATCTGTTACTCTCTTGTATACAAAGAAAATAATAAAGAAAACGAAAATGTTACAATAAATTGAAGACCATATGTTAGTTCATGAACGTGATGTTCACGAAAACATGCTATATTAAATACAATAACGCTACCGTTGACAAAGAGGACGATAATTGATATGAAATATCAGAACCAGTAGAGTGAGATTTAGTCAATGTAGGGTGTTGGAGTTCATACAGAGCACACACAGAAAACACTGTGAAATAATTGTAATCTTCATTTTTTCCTATGTAGATTGCTTTGACCAATATATACTTAAATAATAGTTAAACTGGTAACTATTATCAGTTTTTCATATGTGAATTATACTAATTCATAACTTTGTCAACATATTAATCAGAGTTATGAATTTAATTGAACTTCAGTTTCTCTTATATTCATGATTGTGCCAATAGGCATCTTATCTTATGTGAAGTCTTTTCTTTCTTAGTATATTGCTATACAATCAATGATACGTAATGTTCATAATCGTGTTACTGTTACGTTCATCTATGCATGATTGAACCTTCTTCTCATTCTATATCGTTATTCACTCATATATTATATGTATTGTTCTCATCTATCTATTCTTACGTTATATCCTTACTCGATTGTTCGTCTATATCTGTTCTCTCCTTGGCCTCATCACTTGTTCATTCTTACATTGTTCTCTTCATGGCCTCATCTTCTTTTTTTGCATCATCACTTATTCTACTCGTGTATATAAACGTGTGATTTAAATGTAAACGGGACGATTGTATGATATGAGGGAATAGAATACAGTGTATCACCATCAACACTAACATTCTTTATATCATTAATCGTCACATGACGATGATATGATATGAAGGAATAAAATCACCAACCACACCAACATTTCTTCTATCATTTTTTTCGTCACAATGATAGTTTTCAATTTCCAACGATTTATCGAGATTCGTTCAAAGAATTATTATTCATATATATTGAACATTGAAATCTTTTCTAGTGTTTCAATCAATTAAGTTTACTTTACATGTCTTAGTACAATAGCTTTCTTATATTAATTAGTTTTACGGGCCTTCTTCCAAATCAAGCTATAATCTTTTCTTCAAGAATTGCTACTCATATCTTAAATGTGTTTATTATTTCGATTGTAATATGTTTTGCAACATCAACTTTAAACGTCAATATTTTATTTAATCAGACTAGTTTAATTGCAAGATTAGTTGTAGGATAGTGATTATTTTATTCTTGTTCACATTATTCAAATTACTTTTTAGAAGTATTCAATAATATAAATTTATTCAATTTTAATTTAGAATAATATGCTTTAGTATAACTAACCCTAAATATTCTTTGAGAAAAATTCAGTTTACGAAGTTAACATCACCTTCATATGGCCTGTTGAAATTTATAATTTTTCTTATTAATACGATTCATTCATTTTTGAGGCTATTCGTCATACTTCAAAAGAGTTTGATATTCAATTTTATTAACGAAAACCAACTAATCATAGATGATTAGTTTGAATGAAAAATTTCTATCGAAACATCGATGAAAATTACTCACTGGTGCAAAATGAATTTACTGGTATTTCACAACATGCTGGTAAGGACAAATTTTACTCGTTCTCTTACATCGTGAAACTTTTAATATAAATCTTTTTACAGTGGATTGCAAACGTCTAATAGTTTCTCTCCTCGTGGATTATAAAAA